TGATCAACATGGTGCGGCAGACTTCTCCTGACCTGCCCGCTGCTCCCCTCAGCAGTGTACTTTGTCGTATTGTGCCAGATTTCAAGTTTCCCAAAGACCACCAAGGAGCCGATTCCAATGCAACGCACACGAGGGTCTTTATTGCAGGCTCGAGACTGGGCACCCAACATGTACCAACGCAGCAGCCGAAGTTGAGAGCCCGAACTCAGGGAAGCAGGGTTTTTATTACAGAAGAGGGGAGTTTCAGCTCAGCAGAGGGGAGTTTTTGCTCATCAGTACATTGATTGGTTGACATTGAGCAAAGTTATCTTGTTTTAACCTGGTTGGTCTATGCATGTAAGATATGACCTTCACTACTCAGCCCACATACCTTAGGACACCTGTCATTTTCCTGATATGTACTGGCTACTTGCTAATTGACTGTTGCTATGGGATGAATAAGATTAGGACATTTACAGTTAAACTTGGCCTTGGTGCCTTGTTGATAACTGAAACCTAGGCCTGGCTGCTTTGGAAGCATTCTGTCATGGTGTCAGTTTGGTCTTTCACATCTATCTGCCTGTTCTGCTCCCCTCTCTATCTCTGGTGAATCCTCTCACCATCCCTGCACCTCTGTCCTGTACCCCAGTTCTGTATGCATAAATAAATAAAATATTTAAATACACACACACACACACACACATATATATATGTCAGGGACTGGACTCGATCATAGGTTGTTGGGGGGTAGAACAGGCAGGGTCTCAAGGTGGGAGTGGCATTTTCAAGCTGAGATTCCTAAAAAAGGGGGGGAAAGGGGAGCAGGCACGAGAAAGACATGGGAATCGGAGTTGGATGCAAGTCTTCCTGTTCTGCTGTCAGCAGAAGTTTATTTCATACATTTCAAGCAAGCAGTGAGTTAATATTAGCATATGAATGATCACAATCATCTTTTTTTCTGAGAACAGTTTGGGGTCGTATTGAACTTCAGCTGAGATTATAACATTCTTAAAATCAATCTATCAAAATTAAGATAGGTACACAAATTCATAAAATTTAAGGCTAACATTATTATATTTATCACAGTGATGATTGGCTAAAATAAATTCCCTTTAAACCTTAAATGCTACTTAATGATCTTCATTCTTATTGAGACATTTTAGAGCATAAAGTGAAGACAACAAGGGCTAGGGTAGAGAAGTTTTCTTGTAGATAAATCACTAAAGGAGATAGTAAGATTCCTCTTTTAAAGACTAAGCAATAGGAAGCTTAAGTAAGCTAGTAGAGAGATAAGATTTGGATTCTCTTCTGGGCAGTAGAAGAACTGTTATTTTTAACATGTTCTATTACTGCCTTATTTTACAGTATTGAGTTTGCTATAACAGCTGATTGCTTTTATTAATCAGCTGTTAATTGCTTTTATTAATCTTATTCTTAAAGAAGAATTTCCTGCCCTGAGGCAGCACTTGCTTGCCTGGGCCAGGTAGCACCTTATGAGGCTAAGGCAATCCGTTTGCAAGCTGATTTTGATATTACAAAAAAGGGAGGTCATAACATGAGCTAGCATAGAAATTCTGATTTTTCAGAGCTTTTCCTTTTCTATCCGGAATTTGTCAGTCAGTAGAAGCAGCATAGCTTATGTCATATATAGGCATCATAAAACTATAAACAAAAGGAAATCTGTATGTAAAAATAACCACACAAATAAATGACAGTGACTTCAGAATGCGCCTGAAAATACATCCTGGAGTTATTAGGAAGACCAGGGAGAGCTCCCTGGGCTAGGGTAGCTTAAGTTGGAAGACAAGAGGCAAAGGGGGATGGAGAGCCCATCCTGTGGCCAGCAGGAGCATGGCACCCACAAGAAACCAAAAAGCCCAGTGGCTGAGACACAGCAATCCAAATGAAACCTGCCCGTCGCTTCTCAGTGTTGATACTATTGGCATCTTGAGACTAAATCTTTGTTGCAAGAGGATGTCCAGTGCTATGGTGATGGCACATAGGTGATGGGAAATCCATGGGGATTACAATTGAGGTGGAAAAAAAAAATGTACAAAATGATGTAAAAATAAACTATATATAAAAAAAAGAGGATGTCCAGTGCAATTAGGGTCACTGGCAGTATCCCAGATACTTAGTCGTGACACCTCTGCCTGAGTTGTGACAACCAGAAGTTCCTCTGCACATGGCTGATGACCTTGGGGTGAGGGGTCAAAACAACACTTGGCTGAGAACTAGGGAGAGAGAAATAGGACCCAGGCTAGGACATGTGGAAGGATGTTTCCTTGATTCTGTGAGCAAAGGGACGTCTTCTAAGGTTATCAAAGGAAAGGAGGAAGGATGTAGTCAAAACAGCATTTTTAAAGATCCTGTGTCAGCAGGAGTAACAGTGGAAAGGGAAAGCCATGCCAGAGGGGATGTGGCCAGACCAAATAAGAGCTTATACCAGCTTAGAAGCTCCTAAGCTAGTACTGGTGAAAGATAACAGTAAGAGCTTGGAGTTGGACAGCGGGTAGTGAAGACAAAAAAGTGGCTGGACTTGAGAAACAGGAATTAAAATCAACAGGACCTCATGATGACTGGAGATATAGGGTGAAGCAGAAAGAGACACTCCGCTAATGAATCATTAGCGGAAGTGGGTGGGAAGTGGGTGGGAACTCTAGGAAGGCTGAGATTTGTGCAGGAATATCACATGATTTGATCTTGTTAAGTTTAAGAGGTCTTAGGTCTCCAAGAAAGAATGCAAAAATGGTCATTGCACATGTGAATCTGGAGCTCTAGGAGGTCGGAGATATCCACTGGGGAGTGAAGGATCTAAGATGATCATCTCGGCTGTGAACATGGACAGCCTAAAGAAGGGGTAGAGTGCCTGCTGCTCCCCTCAGCAGTGTACTTCGTTGATCTGCCTGTTATGCTCTCTGCTTTGTCTCTGGTGAATCACTGTCCTTGCACCTCTGGCCTGTACCCCAGTTCTGTATGCATTAATAAACGAATCTTTAAAAAATAAAAATAATAGGCCCTCCCTGGTGGCGCAGCAGGTTAAAGCACAGCACTGAGAATCTAAAGCCACTTCCGCATGAGTTCAATTCCCGCCTGCCCTGGAGGTGACCACATGGTGTGGCAGACCTCTCCTGGCCCGCCCACTGCTCCCCTCAGCAGTGTGCTTCATCGATCTGCCTGTTCTGCTCCCCACTCTGTCTCTGGTGAAGCCTCTTGCTGCCCCTGAGCCTCTGGCCTGTACCCCAGTTCTGTATGCAAAAGATTCGAAATAAATCTTTAAAAAAATAATAAAATAATATAATAAATCATAAAATAATAAAAAATAAATTTGAAAAAAGAAGGGATGGAGGAGGGAAATGTGAGGCCCTGGGCCAGGTGCTTGAGCATTAACGCCAGCTGACTGGATGGAGGAAAGTGCATCAGAGCGGCAGAGGAGGAGTGGCTAGAAAGCTGGTGAGACAAGGACCATGTGGAGTGCCAGCAGGCGAGGGCAGGGAGTGAGCCCAGGAGAGAGTGCTCAAGTGTCAGATGCTGCTGAGAGGGTTTGGAGGCTGACCGAAGAAGGCCTGCTGAGTGCGGAGAGAAGTTCACTGCTGGTCTCAATGAAAGTGGTTTGGAGGTTCAATGGAGATGGGAGCCAAACAGGAATGGCTGAAGGGTGCAAGGCGAGGACATGGAGGCAAAAAGGACAGATTACGTCTTGGGCATGAGGGACCAGGTGGAACCTGGGGGGGGAAGCATGAGGATGGTTTAAAATGAGAGAGGGGTCAGCATGTCTGTCAGTTGGGAAATAGCTGCTTGAGGGGAGTTAGCTCTCTAAGGAGAAGGGGCTGGGGGTGGGATCCAAAGTGAGAGAGGGAATGGCCTTAGAGAATGAATTGTTCCCTAGAGCGAACAAGGCAGCAGGCCGGGGGTCGCTAGTGTAGTGGGTTTGCGTGCAAATAGAAGAGTGAGGGGCTTCTGCTGGCACTGGCAGAGGCTGGGCATGGGGGCACTGAATTACGAGGGTCATGAAGGGTGGGAAGTTTGAATTATGAGAATATATTATTAGAACTTATATTCTCTGAATGCAACAGGTTCTAAAAAAAAAAAAAAAATTATGGCTGGAGTATTTGATTGCTTGTGTTGGCTCCCGAGGGCTGTCACAGGTAGGTCCCGGACAAAGATCCATTCTCGCATAGCCCTGGAGGCCACAGGTCAGGTTGTCAGCAGGACCAGGCTCTCTCTGAAGGGCCAGCTGTCCTGGCCTTCTCAGGCTGTCGTGGGCGCCAGTAAACACTGGTGCTCCTTGGCATTCCTCGGCTTCTAGACTCACCACTCCAATCCCTGTCTCTTCACCCGGCCTCCTGCCCTGCGTATCTGTCTCCAAATATTCCCCTTTCATGAGGAAACCAGCTTTTGGCTAGTCCCACCCTACTCCTGTCTGACCTCATCTTGCCTTGATTAGATGCACAAAGACTACTCCCAAATAAGGTCATATTCAGAGGTTTCAGGTGGAAGTGAATTTTGAGGGAACCCTATTCTACCGAGACTAAGACGTGAGATTTGGGTTGATGCCTTTTACAAATATTTATAGGACTGAAACAAAAAACATGTGGACACTAATGCTCAGAGATCTTGAGGGCCTGGTGTGCAGTGTCGCAGATGCCCCACGCTGTGAGATGTCTCCAACCCCCGTGTTACAGATGAGGAGGCAAGGCCTGACCACAGGCACCATAGTGCCAGCGTCCACTATTAATACTGGCTCTATTGCCTGCCTCTGGCTAGGTCATCCTGAGCTAATTAGAAAAACAAACCTTCATCGGTCAGTCATCTACCTCGGGAACTATCCTTTCCTGCCAAGAGTCTTTGTTAATATCTTTTTTCTCTAGATACAGCTTTTTATACATGCAGGATGTCTCCGGCTCCATGCTGACAGCCCACCGCGTGTGGGAGCGGAAGCCTGCTGTTTGGTCCATTTGGGCTGCAAAATATAGCTCTCCCTTTTCCGGTAACTTTAGGGCTTGGCTTTCTTTCCCTAGGTCCACAATGCGCAATTCATGGAGTTCTCAGAAGTGGAGAATCAGGATGACTACTACAGCTCAGGGTCTGGCTGCATCCACACCCAGGACCAGCGGGGGCTGCCGGTCATGTATGATGAAGCTTTGCGTGATCTGGAGGAGCTGGGGGCAGAGCTGCTGCTCGTGGCCAGCCACTACATCGAGAAAGAGAAAGGTCAGAGGTCGGCTTGCTAAAAACTGAAGGAAAAAAAGAAAACCACTAAGCACTCCATTATTTAATAACCTCTCCCTGAGCATGAATGAATGTGTATCTGAATGTACCAGAAAGTTCAGTAAGCACTTACACTTCATCTACTTTAGAAAAGATACAGTTCTGTTTGCATCTTAAATACCCTTTCTGTTGGCGACTTTGATTCCAGCCCAGAGCTCTGCTATTATTTAGCTCACTGCCCAGGCACATTTCTGCATCTCCCACTGTGTAGGGGGGTTGTAATGCAGGGTCCCAACGGAAGCAAAGCAAGTGAGGCACATAGATGGCTGTTTTTCTAAGTGATAAAAAGAAGTGATTGACCTTGGGAAACTGCAGTTAGAAGTGCAGATATTCCTGGGTTCCTAACAGAAAACCGCCAGGATGCAAGAAGATCTGGCTAGGGAAATGCTAGAGAAGCCCTAAGGGGAGAAGTCATTACTCAGGGTAATCAAATAGCCAATAATGTATATTCTCTCTTCCTTTTGGCATCGGTCAGATTTATCAGTTTTAGAAATAGGTGAGGTAAGACTATCCTTTTGGAATTATATGACAGCATTAGTATTATATTTAGAAGGAGGTTAGAGTTTCTGAATATACTGCAGCACCTACAGGGATAGTTAGCAAGGGCTTGTGTTGTTTGTAATATATGCAGATATAAGTAAAGATAATTCATTTAAATATTGCTACAACATGTTGCTTGAAGAAAGCTTGACAATTGCATTTTACATCCTAGACAAAAATTAATCAGAATACCAGGTTGACCTCTTTGTCTTCTTTGACGCAGGCCATTGGGATGGGGATGGTGAAAAGCAGTAGTGGCAGCCAACAGGCCAGGACAGTGAATTTTGGGTCTTAACACTCATTTTTACTAGATATCCTAAACAGTAAAAGGCATCAGTTAGGTTGATATTAATTTATGTTGCCATGCTATCATTTACAGCTGCTAAAAACTTCATTTGATTGAAATACTCACTAATCATTCACATACATGAGCCTCTCTCGGTTGAGCTAGCAACTATATAGTCATCCGTTGTGAAATGATTTCCCAACTGTAGCTATAGAAACTTCAGATCAAAGCCTACCTCATGTTTGTGATGATTACTGAGCTCAAACTTTAGCACTGACAATCTCTTTGCTGTATTTCACTCTGAAAGAAATTCCTTAGAGATTTTAATCAATAGTGAAAGCGAACATTAATATAGTGTGACAAAATTTTCACTGAATGACAATAATTACCTTTATTTCTTATGTGAGTAATTAACACAATGAAGGAATACCTCCAAAACATTCCCGAAGATGTTTGACTTGGCTAGCAGAAGCTGAAATAGCAGGTAAACTGCTAAACCACAGAGGTCCTGTTTTAGAGGAGAAATGTATGTTTTGCATTTAAATGATAGGTTTGAGGACATTTTAGTAAAGTTTTCAAGTTCACTGAATTTTGGTTATATTTCTAAAATTAGTCTTCAAAAGTCAAAAACAAAAAACCTTGTTGACACGTTTGAGCTTAGGACCTATTTGCCCGTGGTTCTGTGGCTGATTCTTAGGAGCCCAGTGACCGATTCAGTGTTTTCCTCCCTGAAAAAGAGCTGACAATCCCAGGATCACACTTCTTTATTCTTTCTTTCTTTCTTTTTTTTTTTTTAGAAATTTTTTATTTATGCGTACAGAACTGGGGCACAGGCCAGAGGTGCAGGGGTGGTGAGAGGCTTCACCAGAGACAGAGTAGGGGGCTAAACAGACAGACTGACAAAGTTCACTGCTGCTGGGAGCAGCGGGTCAGTCTGGAGAGGTCTCCTGGGCCGTGTGGGTCACTTCCTGGGCGGGGATCGAACTTGCTCTAAAGCAACTGCAGTGCTCAGTTTGCAGTGCTGTGTCCTAACCCATTGTGCAACCAGGGTGGGCACCCAGGGTCACATTTCTAATACAAACAGTCTCTTAGAAAGAGAGAGAGAGACCCATCCCTGATTGTTCGCATCCTCCTCTCCCAGGTCACAAAGAGGGCAGCGTGTCAAACACTGGCCTGATCTGGGGCTGGGCCCATGCAGGTGTGGACAGGTTTGCTGTGCTGTATGACCTGTGGACTTGGGAAGCGGCTCTTCTAGAAAACAAGCGCCAGGTATTTTTGCCTAGAAAATAAAACATTTAACAAACATTCTCATAAAATCCTATATTTTTTTCCATAAGCCAGTGGATGTATAATGGCGACGCCCAATAAAGTGAATAATTATTTTATGTAAATAATCTCAACTAGTTTCAAGGATGTGAGCAATACATTTTATTTGTTTTACTGTTACAAATATAAAATGTGAAGGATACTACCTTCTCTTAGAGGCATATTAGAAGTCAGCATGAATTAGGTCCTTCTTATAATCGATATAGCTCTAGTAAGAATAAATGAAGACTCCATTCATATTGATTGTCCTGCCAGGAACAAACCTCACTTTGCCAACAAAAACAAGCTGTCTGACCTTAATATGACTTTGTGGTATGTGTGCCACAGGTGGGTGGCTGAAAGCAGTTGGGCTAAGAATACTTACAGAGCCAGTTACAAGGGTAAGGCCACACAGTGAAACAGTGTGTTACTAAATCATCACCACATCACTAATGATTCACATCTCCATAGAAACAAAATGCTGCAGGTGTACTGCTCTTCACTTGGGTCCTTAAAGTGGTAAGTCATGCTTCTGATAGACACCCACTGTTACAAGGTGATTCATCAAGCTCTAAGGACTTACCCTGTACCAGTTACTACTCCAAACAGCATGAATCTAGAGATAAATAATAGAAGATGATTTCCACCTTTAAGCAATGTCTAGCCTATAAAAGTTGATCCAATACTAAGTAAAAGTTACAACCCAGTGGGTAACAGCTTACAACTAAGGGACCCCAGTAGAGAGTCCTATGCCCCATAGGAGGGCTGTCAGCAAGTCTTCCCAGAGGAAGACTTGATAAAGATAAGGAGGATGTTGCCTGTCAGGAAAAGAAAGATTCATAAGCAGAGGAAATAACATTAGCAATGTCAGAGGAGCATGAAATAGAAACTGTGAGCTGAGAAATGGCAAGACTTTTATGTCAGGGATGAAAGGCAGGATGGGAAGCAATGTGAACCTGTGGTCTGGGTGCAGCCTTTGATGGGCCTGCTGACCCCTGCTATGTTTAGAGCTAATCTGACAGGCAAGGCAGGCTATAGCGAGTTTCAGTGAGGAGAAATATGATCATAGCTTTGTCTTCTGCAGCTGTTGGGGTGTCAGCAGAGAGAATGGTCTGGAATGGAGAGCTCCTCAAGAAAGGAAGTGCATTTGTTGCAACAATGACCTGAAGAGTTAGGTAGGGACCAACACTGAACATGGAACAGTGAGAATAGGAAGCAAACTTGAGAACATATTGCACAAGTGGAAAAGGCAGATCAAAGACTGACTGGTTTAGTGAGGTTGGAGTTAAATGACTTCCTCTGCATCTGGGAGGAGGTGATTAGCCAAAACAATGCAGGAGGAAGGACAGATAGAAAGGAAGACAATACTGAATCTAGGACACAAGGCATTTGAGCAGTTTGCTAAAACACAATGTGAAAGATGTGGGAGCCTTGGGTTTGAAGGAGCAGGTAGAGCTAAGGTCTGAATGAGGGAGTTGAACCACGGTGATGAATCAGAATAGCTAGGAAACGCCAGAGATGTCTGAAACACAACCCGTGGAACACATTTAAGGAGAGGGTCATGGAGCAAGAATGCATGAGAGAAAGTAGACTGAAGGGAAAGAAGAGGACAGAATAGTGTTATGAAAGTCAACAGACAAGAGCATTTTAATTAGAAGTTTAATTAGTGAGGCGTGCAGCAGAACTCCAGGAAAGATGTCTCCTCAAGTCCAGGCTGTAGGGTCAGCCCTCTGGTCACTGCCAGCTCTAAAGGATTCTCTCAGAGGGTGGGGGTGGAAATTAGGATAGAGTGTGCTGTGATGTGGTAAGAAGATAGGGAAGTAGAAGTGTTTTCTTTGAATTGTTTTTCTAGTAGAACAGATGGTTTACCATTTCATCTCTGGTCTGTTCCATATGGAGATGTAGGTCACCCAATTTCTTAAAACAACTGATTGGGTTTAAAAAAAACTGATTGGGGTTTAAAAAAAAAAACTGATTGGGTTCCGGAGACTGATTTTTTTTTTCAGTTAGTTGGCCTCTAGCAAGTTTGCATCTGTGACCTTGAGCTGCTAATGAGAACCTAACTTTGATTAACTGAGTAAAGGAGAGATTTAGACTCATGGTGTAGTAACTGGAAGAGTTGTATTAAATGGAATCCTTCTTTCTGTAATTCTGTATTAGACAGAACCCCTAAGCATGGACAAGACCTGAATTAGAACAGTACCTCTTTTCTGTGATCTCTCTCCCTAGTCTTGAGTGTTTCTAGTCTCTTGTGGGGCCCAGGTAGGCTTCAATGGCAAGAAAAAAAAATAAAAGGGCAGGTAAGACTGGGAATCAAACTGATTTCTGCACATTTTAGCCTAGGGTTCATTGTGTCCTTAGCTGTCAGAACCCATTCTTCTTTAGGTAAATGAAATAATTTTAACTCAAAAATGCCCCTCCTTTCTACCCTGAGAATAAATTCCTTACAGAAACTGATCCATCTGTGCCCAAAACCTTAGCATATGGCCTTCTAAATCACGATTCTGTCAGATGAACTATATTAAGCCAGGTTTTTATTTTCAGTACAATGGTTTCCTCCAGTGCTGATTATACTGCCTAGTTTCCTCAGCTGTTTTTAGATTGTTCAATATATTGGAATCCCTAGAGTTAAGAATCAGGTTATCTTAAATATTTAAAGTAATCATATAGTATATAATGCTCATAAGTTTAAAGCTGATGAGAATTTAGGAGGATTAAGGAACTCAGAGGAGACAGGTTTCAACTGTACCGACTCCTAAGACACTTGGCCCAGCTGTTTAATCGTCCCGCAGCCTCAAGGAGACCCACATTCAGGGTAATTGGGATCAGTGTTTGGGGCACTAAAAAGATTTTCATTTCTTCTTTTGAAAAGAAGAGGGGTTTTCCTTTGAAAGTTGTCCCAAGTTCTGCAACAAGTTGTATCTTGCACTTTCAATGGACCTAAAATACTTTCAAGATTTTTTAAATCCCTGAAATAGAAAACTTTATGAAGTAAAAAGAATATAAACACAGTGAGATTTGAGATGATGCATTATGATGATTTTTCTAATGTCTGCGATATTGGATGCCTACCATCCTTGTGTACCACATACTGTTTGCCAGAGGGCTGGCTCTTGACATATACAGGTGACATTTGACAGGCTGGGAAGACTTCTTAGACAAATACCAGCCCAGAGTTTAAATGGAAATAGGCCAGTTAGCAAACAGATAATAAGTAGAACCCATGAGGTAGAAAGTTCACAGTCCTATCCCTGTTGGGAAAAAAAAACTCATAAAAAAATTATGCAAAGGTCTTTCTGAGCACTTCCCGGGGTTGAAAACCTTGAAAATGTCTTATCAATTTAAAAAAGAGACTTTTTCCTTCTTGACAACTAAGGTTGTCAAGTAAAAGATTACTGTATTTGACACTACTGTACTAGGAAAGCATTCATTGCTTATCAGAAACTCACATTTAATTAGAAGGCCTGTATTTTTATTTGCTGTATCTGGCAACCATATCAGCAACCAAAGTAAGCCTTGCACGACAGTTTAGCTCCAGCCTCTGCAATGTAGTGTCCACAGGCTGTAGTCACTAGCAAGAAAGAAGCCTCTCCTCAAGCTTCCCCTGCCAATCACCAAACAACTGGGCTCTTTGTACAAAAAACAGGTCAAGGCAATATAAATATGATGCACTAGCTCCTGGGCATGCCCTGGCCCACCACAAAAGGTTCAAGTTAGAACAGAAAGAATTAGGGACATAATCTGTCCCCAGGCTAGTGAATGACACTGTTCGTACATCTGGTCAGTCATTCCATTTCTGCTTTGTCTTCTGCTGTTTAATAGATTGTTATTCTATAGTCGAGCTCTGTGGATGGAACTGGGGAATTTAATTCACCCTATTTACTTCCTTCCCCCATTTCATTTAAAGGCAAGGGGATCTCCAACTTCCTTTGTGTCACTCTCTATGTGCATTTAACATGTGGAGTATACTCTTGTGTCCTGAGATTTTAGGTGTTTGGTGGGGTGATGAAGGGGGCGGTGTTTTTATTTTCAGATCAAGGTTGACCAAAGAGTCCCTAGGTCAATATTAACCCAAATGGCATCCTGCAAAACTACGCTGAATGCAATGCCCCTGAGTCCCCTTTGAGCCTTAGCACTAAAACCCTCTAACTCTGGCCTTGTATTAATAAAGCAGTGTCGGATTCCTGGTCTGGTATTGATTCTGCAATGGTTAGCTGTCCTGGGAGCCTCAGAAGCCAGCACTGATAAGAGTCAGACCCCTGACTTTCCCTGCTGTGTGGTTCCTCAAGTTGAGGTCATACCTCAGTTCTTTCTGGGTTTGCGTTCTTAGCCTTGGACTTCACACGAAAGAAGAGTTCTTCATCTCCTTTTAGGAAATTCTTAAAATTTCCTAAAAGGAGCACCAGAAGGCCCACATTCCAGGAAACAAAGCGCTCTTCCTTTAATGCATCTCAAGTGTGCTAGGTTGTTGGACAGGCAGAAACTGCAACCCAGCAAGTCCCGCTAACTGACAATGAAACAGTCATACACCCGCCAAGCCTATGTGTCTCCGTTTTTGTTTTTTTTTTTTAACCTGTGGCTTCAGTAAGAGCTGAGATTTTTCTGAACAGTGACACTTCTAAAGAGAGGTAGTCAGAGAAAACCTGGGAAGGGCCTTGTAAGCTAAAATTCTGCAGATGTGCTGAGCGAGGAGAATTCTTTCAGTTGTGAGACAGGGGAAATAAAAATGTTCAGAAGTGTCCATACAGAGCTGACTTATCCACTAAGCAATATAAACTCCTATCTAGGATATAAAACTTTTTAGGAATCAAATGTTTGAGGTCTGAAAACAACAAGAAAAAAACCTCATGCAGTACTTCAAGATATAAAAAGGAAATACAGAATAAATAGGTGTAAGCGCTTAATTATGTAGCTGTAAAATGCAGCAACTTTAGCTGAGCACTCACAAATATTTTGTTACTTTTGAAAACAATTTATAGATCAAAATTTTTCACTTCATAGAGATCCCCAAATATATATCACTCAGAAATCTTTAATTAAATGTGTTGTTGTTCAGAGCCAAATGATGTGAAATGCAAAATTATAAATGTCATCTCTTACTTATATAGAAAAGAATTTGATTGGGATAGGAGCACATTTTAATTTATTTGTTCTAAGATGGCACAGGGTCTCCAAAAGTCAGAGTACCTCAGACCTGTGAAACAGCCCTACAACAGTTATTCCAAGGTTCAGAACCACTTACTTCTCTTGCCTTTAGGTCCCTGCTTAGAAGTCCAGCCCAGTGAAATCTGAAGAGCTTTTATCTGACTGACAATATGCTCATTATACACAAATAGAATAAGCACACATAGCACAGACTCCCTAATCTGACAGAAAAATATAAGCATAAAATTTTAAAAATCTCCTTAAAAAAAAAAGTGGATTTATCTATGCATTCAGAACTGGGGTACAGGCCAAAGGTGCAGGGGTGGTGAGAGGATTCACCAGAGACAGAGTGGGGAGCAGAGCAGGCAGATTGACGAACTACACTGCCGAAGGGAAGTGCACGAGACAGGAGAGGATCACCTCCGGAGTCAGGAATCAAACTGGCACTGAAGTGGCTGTGGCCAGCTGCAGTGCTGTGTCCTAACCTGTTCTGCCCACCCCAGACTGGCACCTGGAGGTTCAAGGCCCTCCCTCTCTCCCCAGTGCCCAGCAGCTTTCCAAAGATGGAGGTAGGGAGAGGCTCACCTCTCTTTGGGCAGCCTCTGCCCTTCCCTGACTCTTGAATTTCCTTGCAGCTTCTTGACAGTTATTTTGAAGCCTACCAGCATGTGCTGGACCCCGAGGAGAGGTTTGCCTTAGCGCAGGTCATCACTGACATCATGCACAGGCGCCCCAGGTTTGAGCTCAGCCACCCCTACTTCACCAAGGCCTACCGAGATGAGTGCACCTGTCTGAGGCTCCACGGACAGCTGGTGCAGGGCATCCTCAACCAGCAGGTGGGTACGGCGGGGTGTGATGTATCCCCTGTGAGGAGAGGCTGGGAAACGTGGGCCAGAACTGAGAAAGGTGGGTCCAGCATCCGGTTTCCTAGGGCAGCAGGCACAGCAGGTCTGTAAGCTCCTTTGCACTGCTCAATTCCAAGCATGCCCACAGTTTTGGTCGGGTGTTTTCAACCCTAATGATATATAATGATCCACAAAAAAATGGGCAACCTGTTTTCATAGGATAATAGAGTTTATCAGTAATGAAAAAGAACCAAAGAGACCTCTTTTCAAAAGGTTCCTGCATAAAATTATATATTTTTATGTTATGGTTATTTTTAGGACACAGAAGGAAATGGTGACGGTCTTTGTCCTCCAGGGTACAGGTAGTGGGAGGGAAGTGAGCAAAATATAAAAGTTGTTGCCTGTTTGAAATTGTTTCCTTGTAGTCAGATATTTGACAAAAGAAGTTTTTTCCTGACTCGAGACTGACGGGAGTTGGTCACCTTGGGTTGGCTGGCTCTGGGCTCCAGCTGAGAGCAGCACGTCTCTTCGTGAGAGGATCTTCACCATCACATCTGGGTGAAAATTACTCAAGTAATGGAGAGACTCAAAGGACTGATGTTCGTCTCATGCCAAGGGTCATAACTCACAGCCATGGGAAAGTTTAACTTTTCTAATTTTAACTTTTATGCTACATTTCTAGATAGAAAATCAGCGGGAGTATGTCCAGAGGCTTTGGCAGGAAGACCGTGCAGATGACAGCAATACGTTTGGAATTCCACTGAACATCATTTGCAAGCAACTTATTTCCCTAAACAATAGCTGGTAAGTTGATGTTGTCTACAATTTTCACATTTAATCTTCTAGGTAAATTGAAGTCATAGTGTTAAGTTTAAATACTCTTCTATAAAGTACCTCTCCAATGCTTGGGGAGATGAGAGAAATAGGTATGAAAGCCAGAGGAGGGTTTCCTTTATGAACAACAAAGAACAGGAAGCTAGAATTTAAACCATGGCAATAGGTGAATAATCTTCATTCTTGTGAGGAGTCCAAAGAAAACCTTTTGCAATACTGACAGAGGAGTTATCCCAAGGGGCCACACACGTGAGCATATCGACTATCCTGAGAGCAACCACAGAGACAACATGCTTTGCGTCACCCCCTTGCCACATGGTAGGACTCCCCCCAGGGGGAGTCTTGCAAGGGGACAACAAGCGCCAGTGGGTGTGAATGGCCCACGATCACAGCCTCTCTGCCTTCGAATGGGGAGAGAAGTTGCCCAGCACCTGTCAACACCCAGCAATACTTTCGGGGCATCAGCACACCTGTATGTCCCACAGATGGAGCAACAGAGGCACAGCCCCGGCTCCTGGGAAGAGACTGTCTGGCACATGGGAGTTCAGGGAGAAGTTGCCACAACAGGCGGTGGTGGCATCTTGGGACTGGCAGAAGTCTTGGGATTTCACAGCTGGGATTCTAAACGCGTCTCTTGAGAAAGCGTCTTGGGAGTTCCAGGCACAACACTGATTTTCCTCCACAGACCATTCTCAGGATTCATTTCTTCACTGCTGTAAACTTGAGACACCAGCTGTGTGTGCAGCTCACTATGGCAAGAATCTCCTGCCAGGAAATCGGTTTTGGCAGAACAAGCTAGGACTGTGTGGATACTAAGTCCTGCCAGAATAGTCTCAAAAGCAAATGTTATTTACTTGATGAGGTTCCTTTCCAGCTTTAGGGTTATGTTTCATACCACTGGATAGATTTAAGAAGTATGTATGTTAAGTTGTATGTAGTTCTAGAAAGCTCCTTGGCTTGTGCTGGAGCCTCTATTTCCAATGGGATAGTCACTGAAAAGTATTTTATCTTTTCTGGCCTTGTCCATTTATAAAATAAAACTTCCTTGGGGCAAATATAAATGATTTCAACAGTTGTATACAAAATTTTTAAATTGTTTTTTTCTATCAACATTTTGGGGAGAAAGGGAATAAAAATTCAAGTGAAACAAATAGAAGCTCTCCATGAAAATTATTTAATATTCAGTCACTGTTAAGTGATGGAATGTTGACAGTTTTGTCATATGTAGTTTGAGAGCCCTGTTCTTGCTCAGTTTTTTTTAGAACATACTCCTCTGTCTTCCAAGTTTAAAAAAGTGTGAATTAAATCAAAGTACATGTTACTTAACCCAATGGGGTTTCCTTGCAGCCCCAAGCTCCTGGTCTTTTCGAATGTCCTAGATTATAGGAGCTATTTATTTTGTCCTTCAAAAATAAAATTAAAGATCTTTGAACACAGGTTAAGTCCTTCCCTGTGTAAAATTGTCACTAACCTTTCTCTTCTTTCAGCCCAGCCTTGAAAAACATTTATCTGCTGGAGTTCCACCCTTCCCTGGGTCTGGCTTCACTCATCCCTAGAGCCCTTGAACACCTCCTCCGGGAGGCCCGCTGTGCCTGCAGACCCACATCAGCCAGTGCCCTCGCCCTGCTGGAGAGAAGCGTGCTTAAGTTGGCCCTGGATGTGTGGCTCACCCCGGCCACGCCCGAGGCCTCGTACAGTGCACAGCTTCAGAAAGATGTAGGTTCTCTGAAGGGTAGGTGGGTCCTTGGCAAAGAGAATGTTTCCTCCCAGATGTTACTACTTAGCTATGTTTTTCTGTTTGGCTCTATTCCCCAATTTGACCAGAGACAGATCATAGATCTGAATCTTGCCAACATTTTCATGTGATTTTTTTTTT